GCCCTCACTTCCTTCCTGTCTGATTAAGATTGGTCCTTAGATACTATCACCATTTTTCAGATGATTTACTGATGTAATGGATTTATACTAACCCACACTAGAAACCAGAAGATTTAGAAATCAGGTCTTTGGGCCACACTGATGCCTTTTCTGTCATACTATGGAATTAGCAGGTTTTAAGCTCATGTTAGTGATCATCATCACTACCTACATTTAGATTGTTATTGTCCTAAAGAAATCAAGGTGAAAAATCAGTAAGCAGCATTCTTCTGCCTGTTTCTCCCCTGGGATATTCTGTTACTACTTCTGTATACTTTCTGCCTTTTTTCTCCCCACCATTATCAGTTATGCTGATATTCTTCAATAAATCTGACTCCATATCCTTACAAAAAGCGATTCTGCCATCTTCCTAACTTAAGCATGAAAGGTTTATGAAAAATCAGTAATGCACAGTATTTAGTGTTAGAAAACTTTTTAAAGGACAGCATAATTTCAGCACAAATTCAGTTTAAATCAGTTTTTCAGGGAGTCTAAGTCTTTACTGAGATCCTCAGTTCAAACATAAGTTCTGTATATTCCTAAAGCATAGGCACATAGGCAGTCTCTGCCAAATACAAACAAAAAGTCCAAACTCCCAGAGAGAAATCAGGTATTCAATATAAGCTGTATTGTTTTTTCAAACTGTTTAGATACAGTGAAACACCCTGGTCACTTAGGAAATTATATAAAATCATTTTTAAGCAAGTTGAAAGAAAACAGACTAAGCAAAGAAAAGAAACTTAAGGGCTGGGGCTGTAGCTCAGTGGTGGAGTGCTTGCCTACCACACGTGAGGCACTGGGTTCAATCCTCAGCACCACATAAAAATAAATTAAATAAATAATTTAATTTATTTATTTAAATTATAACTCTATAACTACAAAAAAGTTTTAAACAGAAAAGAAACATAAATTTTTTAAGGTATTATAATATTAGGATCCTAAGAGAAGAAGATACTGTATGCTAGAAACAAGAACAGGCTGTTATAAAGAAAAACATTTAGAAACTAAAAATTCTTAAAAATTAAACATATGATAGACATTGAAAGAGAACTTGTAAATATAAGTATGGCTATTCAATTTATAGATAAAGTACCTTAGAAATCTCATATGTAGGCAGTGACAATTATAAGCTTAAGAGTGATGCACTACTCTCCTTAGGAACTTAAGCAATTGAGATGTAGATTGTGAATAACTGCATCTGGAAAAGTAAACTGTATTTGGATATGCCTGTTCACCGTGGGGAAGAGAGTATGTTTACCACAATTCATTTTTGAATGAATTCTAAATTTTACATATGTATTTTCTCCAGTAAAGTTTCTATTTCAAATCAACAAAACTGGGGAAATTAACCAAAATAAATTCCATAGAAAAGCATTCATTCTGTTACTATTTCAGCACTTCAAACAACATAGGCTACATGTCATGGGGGAAAATAAATGGTACACCTCCAGTGTAAATCTTCTGCTTTGTACATTCAAGCTGCTATAACAAAATACCCTGAACCAGGGTAGCATATATAAACAACAAAAAATTATTTCTTACTATCTATAAGTTAAAAGTCCAAAATACTAGTAGATTCAGTGTCTGGTGAAGACTCACTTGGTGGTTCATTAATAGTGTGTTCCCACCATGTCCTCACATGATGGAAGAAATGTGGGGTCTCTTTTATAAGGATGTTAAAGCCCCATTCATGAGAGCTCCATCCTCATAACTTAACTCCCTAAGGCCCCACCTCCCAATACCATCACCTTGGGGTTAATATTTCAATATAGTAATTTTGGGGAAACAACATTCAGACCATAGCAGCATCCTCAAGTTTTGAGATACTTGTATTAAAAAACTGACACACAAATACATTTGCTATACTTTCACCTTCTCTTTATTTGAGGAACTAAATAAGACCAAATACAGAAGTCTGCATTTTAAAATGGAAAAATAATTTTATATCTTTTATCTATGGATTAGTTATTACAAAATAAAACTGAGTATGTTAGTGATGACATTATTTTAAGTCATTAATTCAAAAATCCTAAATCAATATTTTCTAAATTAAAAGCCGCTAGTTTATATATGGGATAAAGGTAGGTTACATGATGAAAAACATTTTATATTCACTAATCCTTCTAATTCTTATACAAATATTCTTATAAAGTGACCCATTTATTCAGTTTTTCTGGTGTGTTGAAATATGGTCCATTTGACATAAATTAACATCAAGTCATTTAAATATATGTTGTCTTTCTAAACTTAAAATCTGCATAAAGCATGTGTTTATTGTACTTCATGAGTTATTACCTTAACAAAGGATATATAATTATTGCATTCTTTGATATTACTACTTGGTTTTTGCTTAGGATGATCTCCTATTAGGTATATTCTATAAAATACTTGGAATCCATTAATATCAGATTACTTTTAATCTTACTACAATCTGTGATTTAAGCACCTGATTATGTTTATGCAATGCATTGAAACATATTCTGCAAATTCAGGATGGTAATTGACCTTTAATTCTTTCCTTATCCAGCTCAACTCTGGCTCACACCCATTATTCTATGACCTGTAATTTTATGAATTACCCCTCCTACCCTGTCCCCATTCTTTTCTTTATGTGATCCTTTTAAATGCCTTCACTGAAATCTAGCTTTTCCCAGGTGACACTTCATGCCTTTTGTGGAAAAAACAATCAGCCCATTTTATGCTTCCCAGTACTCCTTACTGATGTTAGACCTTCATCATCTCTATGAAATCTGTGCCATCTGATTAGGTCATCATTGGCTATAATAATAACTTCCATCTTCCTGGATGAATCAGCACTTTCTTCCTTCTTGCCCTGTCTCCTGTGATATATGACCATTTTCAAAGCCTATATTGACATCCCATCCAAAGTCTCAATTCAGTGGTTTCCCAGTACTCTAAAACTTTCCATTTCTATTTAAGCCACCCATTAGCATGACCACACCTTGGAACAGCACTAAAAAATGAAGCTGTTTCTTCTGACCAATGTCTTCTATATCTTTTCTCTTGTACATCTTGAATTCATCCATTTATCTGTTTTTCATCCTCATCCTAACTTTCAGACACTCTGCATCTCATGCTTTCCCCACTCCATTCTATTATTCCTCATCTCTTGACATTTTGGTAGCCAAAGTAGTTCACTTGTAAGAGTAAGTTCTTTCTCTAACATAGTTCTTGCATTTTACAGTTCTAAATTAATTCATGAAAAAAAAGCCTAGTTAAATTTGAACTTTCTATAATAGCATCCATTTTTTTCTTTAGATTGTTTCAATTTTAAAATCAAGAAACCGTGGTGACTATATGTCCTATCAACTACCAGATTTTAAGTGGACCTCTCTATATCTCACTATATTCTTTTGTAACACTTCTATTTGTGTTTTCCATATTCCAAGTGCTTAAGTCTAACATTGCTTCCCAGGAGAGGACCTTTACTCCTACTTTACTAGAAAAGCAAATTAGAATTCATTTGCCAAATTCTCTCATGTTTCTTCTCTATATTAAAATGTCTGAATCCGCACTGTGTCCAATTTTCTTATTTTAACAAATAACTGGTTTATGAATCATTTTAAATTTTTTATGTAGACCTACAAGTTTCTTCCTTGTTTAAAAACTTCCTTTTAAGGGCTAACTAGCCTCTGCTAAAGCAACCTTCAACAGCTGAGCTTTCTTCCTTTCTTCCCCGTCTCCGCCTTCTGCCTCACCCTTTCTATTCAGTCCATTTCTGACCAACAGATTTTTAAATCAGAAACTGTAAAGAATCTGTTACCCTACCGAAATTTAACAGGGAGGCCTCTCACTATTTTATAAACACATACTGATAGAAAACATAAGTCTCATTTTTGAGTAAATTGAGTCAGAGAGAAATACCATGGCAAAAGCAGTATCCAAAGCAATGCCTTATATCAAGTCTCCAAGTTCCGTTCCATAGGGCAACACTGGGAGGAATCCAGTGTCACCTACCCATGCAGCAGGGAGCGCTACAGAGGAGAACCCCAAAATAAGAGAGACAGACACTTGCCCTGGAATGGAACCAAATTATAACCAGGGAGGGAGAGATTTTATTCCCCTGGAATTGTCCTCAGGAGGAGAAATGTTCTCTCTTTATTACAATAGAGGGAAGTAAATCTCCCTCTAACTTTAAGTTAAATGCTATCTCTAGATTTCAAAGATGTTTGCCCTGCAAACCCTTTTGCTCAGAAGATCTAGACCATGCAAAAACATGATATTCATAAAGAATTATCTCCTAACAGGTTATCCCAGGTTTCTTTTAGTTTCATATATTTCAGTTTATCTGTACTTACTGCTTCTGTTGTCTTCCTATTACTCCTTATATTTGTATGCTCTATCATCCTGCTGAAAACTATTCTGTGCAAGGTACCAGTGACATACCAATGACACAATCAAATGGTCTTTTAATCATTCTTGACTTTTTGCAAAATTTAACAAGGGCTATGCTTTCTTCCCTTTAAACTCTTCCACTGGTTTCTAATCTGATTCTGTTTCTCTCCTCCGCCCATTTCTCTGTTCTTTACTGTTGTGTTTTTTAATTCTGTCAAATGTGAACATAACAGGGCTGGGGATGTAACTCAGTGGTAAAGCATTTGCCTAGCATTTGTGAGGCTCTGGGTTCCATTCCCAGTACCAGGGGGAAGGGGTATTGAACATATCACAGGTTGACTTTTCATCCTATATCTTTTTCCTCACTGTCTTCTACTGAGTTTCAGCTGTCCCCTGTGCAGATAACTATAATTTGCTTCTTACATTCCAAAACTCACTTGTCTTTATTTCTGCCTAGATGTAATAAACTTTAAAAACAAGAATAAATTTCATGACCTGACTTTTCAATTTTTTACAGTTGCATTGCTTTGAAACACAAAGTCAAAAGAAATTGAGGAATACTTTATTACACGTGTTTTCAAAACCTTTTTATACTCTCTTTATAGGTTATATGTAAAGTCAGATGTGCCACTGAACTTGACAAACACAAGTAAGTTTCACAAGTATCCAAATCTCTATCTAAAAGATCTAAAGAATTAATATTAATGTTTAGTATCTAAAACATCTAAGTAAGTATTTTTAACAGTAGACTACTCAAGGTTAAAGGAAAGGGCTGGTGAGGGCAACTTAGCAGTTTGTTAGTAGTTAGATTGGTTCAAAGGAAGTAAATTGAGTAGCCCTCTGTTCTCTCCCTTCAGCCAGTGCTGCTAATACTTTTTTATTTTTTTCATCTCTGCTTTTGCCCCACTTCAGATGTCAGATGTTGCATCATAAAGTCTACATATGCTAAAGTTAGATTATGTTGTTTGGAGTGAGAATGTATAGTATAATATCATGAACTAAATAATGTTTCAGTACTGATTAATCTCAACAGTGTGAATGCTAAACAGTCAAGTCAAGAGATGGGTTTTAGACCTAATTCTCCCACTAACTAACCTACTGAGTGTCCAGCTCATTTACCCTCTGCATGTTTTGGTTTCCTAAACTGCTCTAATTCCCTGGATATGTAATTTCAAGCTCCTTTTTGGATTTCAAAGTATGTAACTCTTGTTCTTATTATTTAGTCTAAGGGAATATTAAAATTCAACATTTTCAAACAAAAATCTTTTCATTTTACATTAAACTTAAAGCTTGTTGCCTTGTTACAGATTACACATTACCTTCAATTTATCTTGTGTAAACTATTTCCAAGGGCATATGATCTATGATTCCCACTGTTAAGTGACACAAAATAGAAGATATTAAGATGCCAAATAAATTTCTGGACCATATTACTTAACTTGGAGATATAAATATATTTGAACTGGGATTACTTTCATACAGAGAACTATTACTACTACTTTATACAGATGGCCACACCTTAGCTGGAGCGTTTATATGAGGTGGTCTAATTTTTTTAAAGGGAAAGAAGTTAAGCATTTCATGTGTAAGCTGTGCTGTGTGCACTGTAAATGTATACCTTTATAAGAAGATGCAGTAGATGAGTACTTGAAATTATACATGTCCTTTAGTCGATTTTGAAAGCAATGTTTGATATACATAACTGGGAGTTAATAGGATTAAATATATTTTTAAAGATTTCCTTTACCTCTTAAATTTAATGTTAAATATGATCATATTAAACTTGGGACTAATCATATAAATTTAATATTAAATGATTAAATTTAGATACAGTATATTTTCTAGGCAGTGTTTAAAAGTTTGGTAATTATCAGAAGGGAAAAGTCAATGAAAATATGCTCAATAGTTATAAAGATGAAAAAATTCAAGATTGCTTGAAACTGTGTTAAAATAGTCTTATATTATCTTCCTGGTAGGAGCAACTGAATTCAAATCCACATCAGATTATTTCTGGATTAATGCTTTAAAATCTGTGCCATTTTAAGATGATTTATATGCTAATTTCATAACAGCATATATAGCCCATGTAACCCTGAAGGATTATTAAATTTGTATTTAATGAAATTATAAATATTTTAAGCTGAGGAAATTCTTGTGCCCTAAAATAACATACTAATTTCTCATTAGTTTGTAAACATCTAATAAACTCTTTTTTTCTTTCAGAATTCTACTGCATTTGGGCTTTATATTAGCAAGTCTTCTCTTTTTAGTGGTGAACTTGACTTGCGCAATGCTAGTCCATGGAGATGTCCCAGAAAATCAGTTGAAATGGACTGTGTTTGTTCGAGCATTAATTAATGATAGCTTGTTTATTCTTTGTGCCATCTCTTTAGTTAGTTACATATGCAAAATTACAAAAATGTCATCAGCAAATGTCTACCTCGAATCAAAGGTAAGTATATTTCTTAAATTTGAACTTGAAAATCTAATTTGAAACCCTTACCATATGAACCTTAATTTAATGGAAAGTTTTCATTGCTTTTTTACATTTCTCAACTATAGACACATTTTTTAGCATGGAAGAATAGTCACTAGAAATTAAAGGGTAGTCAAAATTTGGCCCTTACTAAACAATGGTTTGAAAAAAAAGGCTTATACTAAGCATGTTGTGTTTTCTATGACTCTCCACTGGAGGCTGGTTAAATAAACCAGAATATATACAAATGGATGAAAAATAGTCAAAAATATCAACTGCAATAGCAACTTAAGATTTTGTCCAGTGAGGGTGGTAGTATTGCCGTTAAACAAATTTACCAGGTTATTTCTACCTATACTTAGATTAACAGTGTAAAGATGTCATATAGGTAAAGTGCTATTTATATGAAGGTTTAAAAATGTTACTTATAACCCTAAAATATGAAGTCCATATGATATATGAAACAGACAGGCCTTGTTTCTCTCTTGTACTTTGGAAAAAAAACAAATGTTATCTCTTGAACAAAAGACCATGTAAGTTTCTACTGTGGTTGATGGACCGTGTGGTTGAGCAGTGAATTGGTCATCATAGTATTTATGGCATTGGGTGTGAGAATATAGATATGTAATATTGAGTGTGGTATATACATACAGACATTTTTACAATCACTTGCACAGGAGAGCTTTCTTTAATTTGGCATCATTGCCTATTCACTGAAGATAAGCAAAATAGTATCTTAAACTGAACAGTTCTCTGAAATATTTTTAGATTTCTACAATGTGTTATCCTTAACATAGTCCTCGTAAAGTACTATAGTTAAATATATGGTAACTACTTGTCCTTTAAATTTAGGTAAAGATTTTAATTTTATATTTTGAATGTATTTCAGCAGAACACTTGGAGATACACACACACACATTGCTATGTATGTGTATATGTAGCAAGAGAGAAAGACAGTCAAACTTTCAAACTAATTTATCATACCTATAAAATTATAAAATTATTCTATTAAATTTATAAAGAGTTCTTAAAATTTAAATATTTTAGTTAATTCTGGCTTCAGTTTGACTATTAAAAATAATTCTGTCACGATTATGGACCATAATACCATCTTTACTTAGTATAATAATAGTAGAATTCATCTCATCCTCTTGACTGTCTAGTGATAAAGCATAAACAGATGAGATTGAATCTAATGTGATCCTTCTTTTTAGATACTTTCTAAGTTTGGCTTTACTTGTTTTGGAATGTATAATACTCTGAATATAGTTAAGTTAGCAAACTGAAAAGAAAAGGTAATCTGATGAATTCCCTAGAATTATTTCAAACATCTTCCCCTTACTATCATGAAAGGTAGTCATTTTTATTATATTATTTTTTAAATCTTAAATTTAAAAACTATATGGATTCAGAATTATCTAGGAACATTGCTGAAGACATGTTCAGATAAGTACCTAATAAGGCAGATGAGATTAGATTATTTATATTATACTGTTATGTAGTTCTTGATTTTCCTAACTAGGTTATAAACTTCCGTGTTCAAACAGCATGTCATCTTGTTTTCATGTTATCCTTATAATCACGAGGTTCATTTTTATTTTTTACTTCTATAACAATACACAGTAATGAACATTTCTTTTATTATAACAACAGATAAACTCTATTCCACTTTCCAACTCACCCTTTTTCTTGCTATCCCTAAGAACATTTCCTTAAACCTCAGACTTTGTTTTCCTTTTATTATTCCTTCTTCCTTCTTTACATACTTTGTGTTCATGAGATCCTCTCTAATTTGCCTCAACCAAATCTTACCACGTGATTTCTGAATGATACACAGAGCATTTTCCTTTCTCCACATCCTCAGGCTTTTTCACTATCCAGGAATGCATTTTTCCCCTCCCTGTGCATTCTATTCACCTCTTACCCAACTTAGGACCTAACCCTAGTGGTTCCCATTTATAATCTTTTTTTAAAATTTTTTAGTTGTAAATGGACACAATATCTTTTTATGTAAGTATTTTTTTGTGGTGCTGAGGATAGAACCGGTGCCTCACACCTATGAGGCAATCCCTCTACCACTAAGCTACAGCCCCAGCCCTCCCATTTATAATCTTAATTTGGTCCCTTCTCCCAATCTCCAAAATAAAATTTAGAAATGACTCACTATCTGAATTATCTAAAAGTGTGCTTGTTTCCTTTGGGGGGCTTCTCAGTTTATACTAGATACCATTTGTGGGCAGATGTCTGATTATCTGACTAAATTCTAACCTTCTGGAAGGAAAGCTACTTACTATTCATATCTCCCTTCATGCCTCACACTTGAGGATTAGTGAAATTTTTTGAATGATGACTTATACATTTTTATTTCTATTCAATTATTCACCTCAACTGTCTTTGGGATATTTCCATCAGCTTAAGTATTTCATTTTCTTCCTCCCTGCATCCTGTACCTCTCTCTTTAAATTTTGTTTTTGTCCCCTTAATTCAGACTTAAATTTGGAGTACTTTGATACTTCTGCATTCCTTTTTTTCCTAAAACTAAACCATCAACTTTTTCATTTAAAAAAAACTATTTTTATACATTTGAAAAACTTGATAGTTATTCTCATTTAGTACCTTTTTTTCCTATCAGTATCTACTACGTAACAGGCAGTTGTTTTTCACATTATCTCATTTCCTGGTTGCTTTTTGGTGTATTTCAAAATGATTCTATTATGTGGTCTATGATATTGTGATATAATAAAACCTATATATTGAATCTCTCTGTTTCTGATTCTTGACACAAAGGAACTAGAACCCTTGAAATTCTGAAGAGTGACAAGTGTTTCGGGTTTTTTGGGGAGTGGTTGTATGCAAATAAGGTAACTTGGAGCCCCTAGATAGCTTCTTGATAGGGGCTTAGTCACCAGAAAGACCAAAGCATAATTTAGAAGGGTTTGTACTTTCAGCTCCACCCTACCACCAATCTCTAGAGAGGGGATGAGAGCTCAAGGTTGAGTTTGATCACCAGTAGTCAATGATATGATGATCAATCACACCTACATAATGTAGCCTCAATAAAAATCCAAAAGGATGAGTTTCAAGGAGCTTCCTTGAATATATGGAGATGCTTGGAGGGCATCTCCAGAGAGGTCATGTAACCCCTGCAGTCCCATCCCTTATGCATCTCTTCCATCTGACTTTTTATCTGTATCTCTTGTAATATCTTTTATAATAAACTAGTAAACATGTCTCCTTAAGTTTTGTGACCCACTCTAGCAAATTAACCCAAGGAAGGAGTCTTTGGAACCCCAATTTGCAGCTTGTTGTTTAGAGCTATTAGTGACAATCTGTTCTTGTGATTGGCATCTGAAGAGGAGGGCAGTCTCGTGGGACTGAACACTCAACCTGTGGAATCTGATGCTATCTCTAAGTATATTGTGCCAGAATTGAATTAAATTATAGCACCATCAGTTGGTATGTGCTGGAGAATGAGTTGGTGGGGAGAAATCCCAACATGTTTTGGTGACCAGAGGTGAAGTATATTATGTTGAGTGGCATCTCAGAGTAGGGAAATAGTTGTTTTGTTCTTTTAATTTTCCACATTACTATTTTATGCCTCCCCCCCCCTCCATAAAAAAAGGAGAGGAGTTGGATCTTAGGAGGCAGAGGCACTGTGAACCTTATATAACCTGGCCCCTGACTTATTTTATTTTATTTATTTTTTTTTAGTATTTATGCTTTTATTTAATTCACATTCAAATGAAAAAAATATTCAAACTTATAAACTTCAAATAAAATTCACTTTTAAAGAAGCTTTAAATTATTACTATGAATAGTACAAATTATGTGAAAATTTTCAAATACTTCAACAAAGTAATTTTGATGAAATTAAGGCCCACACTGCAATTTGTGGAATGAATATATAACTTATGAATTGTGTATTTTTTCATTTCATAACTTACCCAAACATTGCTGACATATCAACAGAATGCTTAGACATACACTATTATAGTTAAATTTAGTAAGTATAGCTTTACCTATTTAAAAATTTTGTCATCACAAAGGTTTATGTGTCTAAGCAGAATAGAATATTATGTTTAACAATTTGTTTTTTTTTAATGTTGGTTGTTCAAAACATTACATAGTTCTTGATATATCATATTTCACATTTTGATTCAAGCGGGTTATGAACTCCCATT